TTCGTTGGGTGGCAGGACAGCCTTTGCACGGGTGGCTTTCCCGTTACTTAGCCTCCAGCTTCCTATGGTCATCCAGTGGTGCACCGTGCTTCGGTGCAGTACAGGCAGCTACAACTCTTCGATAGACGCAACGCAGCTGTTCAGACCCGACCTTCTATTGGCAACTCCTGAACACGAGTTGGAACACGGTATTGAAAATCTGTTTTTGGCGGTTAGACGAGAGTATACGCGCGATGTCGATACTGCGACGTGACCTTTTTAGATATATTAGAGATAGTAGTTATTTTATTAAATGAGTTATTATGGGTAAAAGAGAACCCGTACTACAAACAACGAAACAAAAAAGGCGGAAAATGTTTTTCTTTTAAACCTAATTTAATCTAACCTAACCGAACCTAAACTTGTCTTTGCGATAAACATCCAAGTTATTCTAAAAGAACAACGGTCTCGTTATAATTCGGTTTTCGGTGTAATAAAAATTCGAGCGAACGTTATTTCGGAAAAGAAATCGAGTTTGTCATAGGTTACCTCGATAACCGGGTAGCACAACTTATATTGTCGGCCTGCTGATGCAACCTTTGAATGCTTAGGACTAGAAAAATTTAAAACAAATTTGGATCCCTAATTATGGTACGCCGGCGGCCTATATGGCTTGCTGGTTAACGTTCGAAGAAACACAGTTTATTAACTGCCTCCGTGGCCGAACGGTTACCATGCCGGACTGCCACGCAGAGGTCCCAGGTTCGATTCCCGGGCCGGGAGAAATGTTTGTATGGCTTACATTTATTTCTCTCGTGAGTTTGGGTGTAATTTGTGGTTGTTTATGTGTGTGTCCATGGCACCCGCGACACAGGGTTTCCCTAGTGCGGGGCTATGTTGAGTGTGTGTGTGCGTTACAATGGCCTGCTGCAGTTGAATTTTTGTGGGCGGCCGGCGGCCCACGTGACGCTGAGTGTTAAATATTATTATGTCATGGGTGATATATTTGCTGTTACACACTGGTAGTCTTTCTAAAACTGCTGAAATTATTTTCCCAACAACGTTTAAACTTGATTGATCGAAATATAAACGTAGGTAATCAACAGGACAACGCTACGACTTTTCGAATGCGCAATCACCGCGTCACCATCGCGCGATTGGAGCACGACATTCGTGTCGCACCTCTGCCATCGAGAACTTGGAGACAAATGGAGCGACATGTTGCGCAACACAGCGGTCAACATCCACGTGAAATGTCCCGGGGACAATATCTCGGAACATTGTGCAGGCCTAGGCTTGGCTACCACTACCACTACACTTGTTAGCATCGAGTTCTTAGGTTTTCGCGATTGTTACACATAGGAAATGAAACTATTTTTCCGGATGTAAATCGCGTATATTTCTTTTTTCAAAGTAACCAAATGGTTATATACACTTGTTAGTGTTTGTATGTCGCCGGAGGAGGTTGTGACAATTAGTGCTACGGAAATGAAACGTAAGTGAAAAAAAAAAGAAAAAAAAAAGGTGGTGGAGAGGAATTATTGGTTACAGCGAGAAAGAAGAATTAATTTTTTAAGTGATCTCCGAATATCCTTGCAAGCCTTGGCAATATCGTCTCACGCGTCATTTTCCTTTATTTTGTATTGATAATCACAATTTGCCTTGTCCCACAACAAATCACGATTCTGGTAAAGTTCTATCAATGGAAGCACGGTTTCGTTTCCCCACACTTGAAACATATTGAGTAGAGATGAAACGGATAGTGATTTGGCCGGATACCGGACATCCAGCGAGTAGCTAGGCCAGATAGCCGGATATCCGGCGGTCGGATATCTGACTCATTGCCGTAAACAGAGTGAATGATTGCGCTTTCACATTGACGATTTAATTTGTTCGATAATACTAATAAATACATAACAGAAAAACAAATTCGGCAATATTTTAATATCAGTGCTGTTTATTTGTTGTGCCGAATGCAAATTTCTCGCGGTGGAGAAGGAAAAAAGCAATTACATCATTCAATGGCTATATTAAAAATTTCTAGTTATTATAAGTGTAAGTATAGGACTTGATACGCCCGTTATTATTTTGTTTCATTTTGATTTCATTGATTTGTTTGTGATCTAACTTATTCTAAGACTTGATACCAGATTTGTAAAAAAAATAATTAAATCCACTTACATGTTTCGTTATTGTAGGCACACATTGTATTTAAAGACAGTTCAAATCAATCGTGATCGCGATCCTCTCATTTGGTCGTCGGGCAGTAATAAGTAGTACTTAAAAATTAACAAAGTTTGCAAAACTTTGTAATGACAAACTGTCCTCTGAAGCTGGTCTCGTTTAGGAAAATAAGTAGAGCCAACTTTTACCATTTAATACAGAATAATTGGTCTTCCTCCACCATAATTTGCCTTTATTGAAATATAGTATTTTATTTATTTATTGAGTACTAAATTTACAGATAACGTTATTTAACTTCATAGTTCATTGAGTTACAAGTAATAAACAGATTGTCAACGATCCTGTAGTTGCTATTCATTCTATTATTATCATCAACAAATCAATTTATTTGGCGTACTGACTAAGAATTTTCATACAGATATCATTCCACTATCCGGTATCCGGCCGGATAGTAAAAATATGCCGGAGGACAGGCCGGATACCGTTACCGTATATCCGTTTTGATATCTAATGTTAAGGGTCACGTTACGCATATGATTACACTTGGCAACAATGAAAGCGGCACTGATGCGCGACACGCTCTCGGAGCAGGAGCTTGCAACATGTTCTGCATCCCGTAAATGCGTCGCAAAATGTTGCGCGGCATGTTGCGGGACACTGGGTAACATTGTAAAGACACGTAGATTCACTGTTGACGTGTTGGGGGACATTTTGTCCCCTAGTGTGTAAAAGCCTTAAGCATAATGCTTGCTAGCCGCCGCCGCCCGCGTCGCCGCTGCCACTACTGCGCCGCCGCCCGGTCGCTGTCGTCCAGTTTGCAGCATAAAGGACATCCGGTTTTGACGTTACGTGTGATGCAGGTTGCCTATTGACCATAAATAGGCGTTAATTTGAACGTAATTTAATACGTTGTTATATTCCACTTTTTAATTTTATTCAAGTGAAACAACCAACCAGAAAGTATTATTCCTATCTGATTCCCTAAAACCAATCTCCTGGGGGTTCCGTTTTATTTTATATTATTTTCTATTATCGTCAGATCCGCAGTGCAGAGGATCTAGAAGTATAAATGTTCAAATTTTATTTTCACCGAATAGCCTGGCACTTACAAGTTTATTTTTGGCATATAGTGTGGTACAGTCAACAAGAAAATGAATTTAAGGGTTGAACTGCGTTTTATTTAGTTTATTAGAAATGAACAACATTAACTATACTTTATTGCTCAAGTTCTTTGACCAGTTTAACCTTTTGTTATTTTCTTAAATACCATTTAAGTCTGATTTTTGCACCTACTTCTATATGAAACTGGACCACGCACTAAGTTAATAAAAACCCAGTGAGAGGCTTCGAAGTAGTGATGCGTCTCTTTCCAATAGGGTGTTCATTCATATTTCAACCAGCCATATTGTTTTTTTACATTTTAGTTTTTACAGAAAATGTGGTCGCTTATGGATGACCAAAACTACCAATATTATTTCACAATACAAATTAGTATACTCATTTAATAATAATAACAATAATAATAATAATAATAATAATAATAATAATAATAAATGAGTCCTGAGTCCCTGACCCCGGCCGACTGTGCCATAGCCGGGAAATACCGCCTCTCCCATTTAAAAATTCAAAATTAGTCTTTTAGGCCTTGGGAGAGGCGAGAGTTTAAAATAAACATAATAATAATAATAATAATAATAATAATAATAATAATAATAATAAT